TAAATTCCCTTTAGGACATGGATGCTCATGCGCAGGCACCAACCACACATGGAGCATGATCACTTTATATATAAGTACAAGCTTTAACACAAACTAGTCAGAAATATTATTTCTGGACCAGAGCACAAAAAAATATAAGGCAGAAACCATAGGTGAGGTGCACCTTCCTCCTTCTTCTCTTTAAAAATAGAACCAAAACCTCTGAGAGATCTTATTAGCAAGATAATTGAGAAAATTTGGTGTGTTCTGCTCAAGCTCAGATCTTCCACATGCAGAGAAAGAACCTTGAAGTACACAGATCAAGAAACGAAAACTAGGTGAAGTGATGAAAATCTGCAGCTGGCTGGAAGCCTTTGCAGACTGTAAGGCATCCACCCAACTCTTGACTCAAGCACATTACCTCCCAGCACATCAGAGGTGAGAGTGCAGGTACCTGAAGGGGACAGATGACTGATCTTTCACCACAATATAGATCAAAGGAAGTCTAGGATTTAGCTGCAGTTGTGCCACCGTAAGAATCATCAGGGTATGTTAAACTGAGATGGCTTGTCCATCCCCAGGACCTCAGTTCCACCGTGTGCCAGAGAACAGCTGCACCAGGAGCAAGTGCAACAACAACCCACACCTGCTGAGCTGGTGGGACAGCGAGGGGCGGCCGCGCTTCCGGCTGGGGCAGTGCCACTGAAAGGGGATCCCCACTTCTGATAAGCAGCAAGGGAGCAGGGAAACAATAGGTGGCTTGATGAGAGCTGCTCTACGATACTCCTGAGAAGCCCCACAGTCAGCACTGGCCAAAGAGGAAATTGGGGGTTTCCACAGCAACCTGTTCAGGGCACAAAGGGCCAACTGTCTAGGGAGAAGCCATGGAGGTGTCTCAGCACTCCTATTTTAAGAAGGGACAGTGGCTGAAGGCTGGAGTCTTTCTGAAGCCAAAGTACCCGCCGGAGCATTTCTGTACAGCAGGAGTTTAATTGGGCATTAGTCCTGAAACCAGGGAGAAGCAGTTCTAGAGGAGGGAGTTACTGCACACTTTGGCCTAACTAAAAGATGAGGCCTTCAACAGTGTAAGAAAGCTGAAAAAACAGCATTGCATTCGGCTCCCTAATCTTACTGATACAGTACATGACACACAGAAAAAAAAAAAAAAATACCCAGACTGGTGGAGACAGCTAAGAAAGTAATCTCTCAGACATATAGGATTGAAAGAGAAAATCAGAGGGCAAAAAACCCCAAATACATTTAATTTAAAATAGGGAGATCTAGAATTTATTTACAGAAACACTACCCAAAATTAGAAACAACCCTGGAAATGCAAAACCAAAAACAATGGCTGGAATCTGATCAGTCTGTGATAATTAATTCATCCACACCCCAGTCTTCATAGCTCCCATCTGGAAGGTAACGACGGATGATTATGGGGATCTTGCGTGCTCTGAAAGGAAGAGAGAGATGAACAGAAATGTCAGAATCTCCACCGTATCACTTCAGCAGGCGATGGAAGTGAGGTGCTTGGTGGCTCCAATAAGCTCATCAGATTTAACTGAGAGCTGTGCAGCACCAGTGTTTGATACTATATAGCGAAGTCCCAACAAAATTCCATCATTTGTAGATGCAAAGAACTCAGCACCCTCAGACTATGAACACCCAAGACCTCTCAGACCTCTGATGCTCCTGCAGGAATTGAGCCTAGCAATCTGAACCCGTTAAGAGACAACAATAAGCATCTAACCTTGGTACAGGGGAAAAATATAAATCCAGGGATTTGAAGAACAAATCCACTCCTTGTTTGACAGAAGGTTTTTCCCCACACAACACTATTTTTAGTGGCAGAATTCTGAGAACTTCCAGGGCAAACTGGTATTTACAGAGAAATTTGCATCCTGAGAGCATCAGATACATTTCAAGAAGGATACATGAAACAGCAACTATTCAGGTGCCAAAACCTGTTACAGCTGGGGTGGAGCACAGCACCTGCTCATAGTCCTTCCGATTAGAGAGCAAGAAAATTCTGAATACAATTTAACTTCATGAAAGCAAGTTTAAGTCAGCAAAGCATCATCAGCCAGTCTGGAATCTAGCCAGGGCATCAGGTTTTAACTGTATCAGACTTGAAAAGTAACACAACTTCTTTACATTCAGGGAGGTTGTTTTTCCAGTAGTAAAGTAACTCCCCGATGCCAAGAATTACAACTGAATTTTGGCACAGAACAGGACACACCACACTGACTTACTTTTCAGAACTTGCACACAGGCAGTGACCAGAAGCAACTCAGTCTGAGCCCAGAGATCTGACAGGAATATGACCCAAAGGGAGTTGTCATAGATAAAAAAATCTGCAAGAGCAGTTTCCGTGCACTGAGAAACTGGGGAAGCAGGGGGATAATTTTGTTTAAGGACAGGGACCTAATCAGTAACAGTGTCCAGCTGCTTGCATGTGACCTGGACTATGCAGGAAAACTGTGGGACAGCAGGGAGTTCTGCTGTGGAAAAGTGGGCCTGCAAGTGGTCACCCAAAAGCTGCCTCTGCTGCAGTCAGAAAGGATTTATTCACCTTTCTGTAAGCAGGGGGAAAGGACAAGAAGCCAAGCACGGAAGGGTGCAGGAAATAAACATTCTCATCAGCCTAACTCTTATTTTAATTTTTGCTAGCACTTCATTTGAACACAGTTCTGTTCAGCTGGCTGCTTCAAAACAATTCCATTTGGGAAATTAAATCACTTCCCAAAAGATGAGGACCTTGGGATCCCATCACAGAAATAAATAATACTGGGAACATGAAGTAGAAGAGGTCCAGAGCACTCGTAATCATCAGTTTGCAGGAGCAAGTAGTCTGGGAGAGAGCAGCTGTGGAGAAACTACAAGATGAAGAAAGGAAAAGGCAACTATAGTACTTGCTCACTGTTATTGATGGAAAATAACACTGTCTTAGAACAAACTGCTACATGTTGGGATGAGGAGAGGACTGCTGGCTTTACAGAAATCAGTACAAAATCTGTGACTTACTTGAGTTCTTTCATGGCAATGAGCAAGGGGTCTGTCTCTCCTTCCAGCTCCACCATCACAGGGGCACACATCCTAGGAAAAACATCAACAGCCACTTGAGCAAAAACACAGAGAACGAAGAGTTAAACACCTGCTTACCTGTGTCACCTCTACAACAGCCAATGAAGTAGGGGGGTGGGACACTATCCTGGCAAAACTGATTTGCTCTGTTGTGCCCTTGAAGGAGAAAATTCCCCCAGATGGTTACAGACCAAACTTTTACTTCAGTGCTCTTCTTCTCCCATCCCTAGGGCTCTGCCAACCAGCTCAAGCTCAAGGACTGGTCAAATCCACACTCTCCTAGTCGCCCTCTGCTGTATACTTAAACATGTAGAAAAGAATGGTTCTAAAATTAATCCAATTAAAAGGTTGCAATTGCTGTAAAATGAGCAGACCTTCTACAGCTCCAACACATCGTTTACATTCTGACCTGCTCACAGCTCCCAGGCTTCGATCAGGAGAAGAGAAGGGCTGGATTTACAAGGCATTTTACCTCTTGGAAGAAAAAACTCAGCATTTTGCAAAGGATTGTGACTACACCCATGACCTGGACAGTGGTGGCAGAGAAAGCTCACGTTATGCGTGGGTGAGGCCATGCGAGCTGCTGCTGGTCTGGGTTCTGAAAGTAGAAGTTGCTGGTGAAGCAGAACCAAGTGCCAGAGTGGATTAAAGGCCTGGCACAGCCTTTATCTCCCCCCATTTTTCTTGCCTCTCACCAACTGAAAGAACATGCATAACACAGCTTCACAGGCTGTGCAAAGAACAGCTTGCCTGCCTGTGAGCTTCTAAATGATGCACAAGAGAAGCCTCATTGTGAAGGTGGATATAAACAAGATGAAACTCAAACCCTTGCCAATGTCTAACATTCTCTCTCAGAAGGTAGTTTCTCAAAAAGCACACCATTTTAAATATTTATTATTAAAACAAATCTAAAAAGTCAAATGAATTAAGAGCAGCCAGCCTTGACAGCACTTAAAGTAAATTTTAAATGTTATTGTCTATTATAAATAAGGCCTTTATATTGCAAATACTTCAACAACCTTACAGCTACCCACAATGCAACTGCATTTGGAACAAATTTCAGGTTGGTTTCTTCACTCCCAATTCCTACAGCCCTGAGGTATCAACTGAAGTTGTTTTGAAGCATCTCTATCTCAAACATTACCTTTCACAAACCAGTCACGAACTCTCAAATCCATGCTGACTCTCTGAAGAAAGACAGAAACCAGAACTGTCGTGTCCCATTCCCTAGTAATTTTGCCCGTGATCTAGGAAAACTCATTGTGGCTACTGAATGCTCCCTCTTTGTGCACACGTAACACAGTTTCAGGCAAGGAGAGACACACAGACTTCAGGTGCAATAAAGAGTAAGCTTCAGTTTGACCAGAGGGTGACATGCAAGCTCGGCAGTCATGCAAAGGATTCAGAAGACCTGGGAATTTTTAAGGGAAGAGGAAAGCGCTAATCAGTGTAAAAGGAGGCACAGCTGCAGCAGTGCTGGGGACACAGCAGGCAATACTCACGCTATCTGCAGGGCACGAGTGCCCAGGACTCTGGCTCGCTCGTACTTGGTCATGTAGGGGGTCGTGATCCGCTTCTGGTTCGCCTGCTGCCGTTCTCCCGAGGGCAGAATCTCCACGTTCTCCTGTCCCTCCTGGGGGAAACAGACCGCGCCGCTGCTCAGCCGCACCCGCCACCGAGGCCCTGAGGTGTGGGGGGAGCCGCTGAGGCCACCCCAGCCACAGCAGCCGCGCGGCCCTGCGAGCGGCACCCACCTCCTCCGCGTTCTCCAGGTCCTCCAGGCCCTCGTCCTCCTCCACATCGTCGAAGTCATCCCCGTCAAAGCTGCGGGAGAGACACACGCGTCGCACTTGTGACCGGGCCGCCGCCACCCCGTTCCCTCCCTCCCTCCCTCCCTGCGCCCGCCGCCCCGCTCGCACTTGTCCTCGTTGTCGGACATGTTTCCCGCCGGGCGCTCCGGACCGGCGCTCCCGGGAGCAGCTTCCGGCCGCTGCCGTGACGCTACCGGAAGTCATCGCGGGCCGTTGCCCTGGCGACCGCCGCCGCTGCCCCGTGCCGCGCGGGCGCCGCCCGTGGCGATGGAGGCCGCAGGGTGCCCGGGCCGCGGCGGGCTCTCGGCGGCGGGCAGGCCGGCCCGCTACAGCACAGGCACCCGGGAGTTAGTGAAAGGTAACGGCGGAGCCCGTCGCCGGTGTTGCCGCCCCGGTTGGAGTCTTCTAAACCCGCATCTTCCCTTTCGGATTGGGGTTGTGAGAGGAGGTGACCCTAGGGCGGGTTCTCCAGCCCGGCTCTGCTGCCTCTTCATCGACGCGTTGTGTTTTTCAGGGATGATGGAGGAGTTGCAGATGACGCATTCCCAGAAGCGATACCTGATGGCCTATGTGAAACGTGAGTGAGGCGCCCTGGCTCTCCTGCCAGTTGCTGTGCTGTGGTGTGGAGCTTTTGCATCTCGGCATTCGCCCAGAGCCTGCTCGGATGGGCAAGTGCTTTAAACCAGCAGCACAGCGGCTGCTGGCACATGGGGACAAGCGGGAGAGCTGTCCCCACGGGTCGCCCAGGAAACAAGGCATAACGGTGTGACTTGAACCGCAGTCTGTCGTGCCCAGTGACCAGGGTGAGACATCTGGGGCACTGGGGTCTTCGTTTGTGATGCTGCTATAGATCAACAGGTAGATCTGCTGGTAATGGCCCAGAGCCATCCATTCAGAGTCCCTCCTGTCTGATTTGCTGTTATTTTTGGTTCGTCCCCCAGGCGGAGATGCCCTGCCCCTTCAGAGATTCTCCCCATCCAGCAAACAGCCAGTAACTGTTTCCTCCCCAGCAGCCTGTCAGCCACACAGGCTTCCAGCAAGACCGCTTCTCCGACCTGCCGGGGTCTGCCAGGCAGGGGATGCCTACACCCGGGAGAAATTCAAGCCACAGCCCACACGTAAGTCAGCGAACACTGCTAAATAAATACATGGTGATGCCTAGAGCCTCTCTTCTCCTTCTGTCCCTCCCCTGCCTCAATCTCAGCAGTGGCAGTGTATCTGAATTGCTGTATCACATCCTCATGCTCTCAGTCTGCAAAGATGTTTCAGAAATGGATCTCTGAGGGAACATCTCCTGTAAGTGCTCGCTGACTTCTGCCTGCCAGCTGGGGGGTGACAGGCGATAGCGACCTGCACAGTCCCTGAGTAAGGATGGGGCACTACGTGATTTTTTAGCACATAAAGGTGAACCACACCTCTGATGTTGGTTTGGTGGGCGCTGTACACCCATGTGGTGCTTGCACACAGTCCAGGGATGGACTGACATTAATGAAACACTTCCTCTGGCACAGTTAGCAGGGAAGCAGCGTGGTCAGGCTCCTCCATGAGGAGACGTGCTGATAATAATGCTTTTTTCCTTTGGCATTCTTAGGAGACTTGGAAAAGGAGAAGAGAAGACTTCAGAACATTTTAGCATCAGGGAAGGATGACGTGGAGGAGAAGGTGGAGCAGGTGTTCATTCAGAAAAAGGAAGAGGAGATACCTGAGGCTGACCGGTTTGAAGAATGTACGTTGTCATGTCCCCAGGAGAGAGGCAGGAAGCCTGGGAAGCCAGCTCCCTCCTAGGGCTGGGCTGGCAGGCTGTGTTGCCAGTAACCTGAAGCATGTTACAGGAGGAGCCACAAAGGCCAGTTCCCAAGAGAAAGGACTCGCTGCTGTGACACTCTGATCCAGCCATCCTCACAGAGCTTATACTGACGAGGTTTGCTGGCAGATGGGCTGCCCACACAAAATGCACCCTGCTGGCAGGGGAATAGCCTAGGGATGTGTAGGGATACATGGGAAACAAGCTCAGGTACTGTTGGTCCTTTTCCCAGCAAGTATGACGCAACATAGACCAGGTCACTTGATAGCCTGACCACAGTTTGGGCCATTCCACTCCAGGATCACAGCAGTTATACTAGCAAAGCTTGAATATCAAGCAGAATTTGAGGCAGTGAAAGACTCTGGCCTGCAGTGTATACTGGGATAGCAAAACACTGCCTAATACCTTTCTGTGCTTGAATCTGTGCTTGAAAGTGTGTGTACAGCCCTGGCAGTCCTTTGCCAGCCAGGGCAGCACAAAGATGGGCATTGCTAGAGCAGTGTATACAAAAGGGATACTCCCTGCTGCAGGGAGCTAGTGCAGCTGATTTTACACATGCTTGGTAGTCTCCAACACTTGTCACAAGTTCTGTCACAGGTTCTGTCTCCATCCACTGACTGGTTAAATTGCCCACAAGCAAAAGAGAATTGTCTACATAAAGAAAACTAGAAAACTGCTGTTCCTGGGAGTCAGGGAGTGGTAAGAAGTTGGGCAGAGGGGACATATCCATTATGTAAGGGACTGCTGAGGTATTGTGATGACATGTTGGGCAAGGTGAGTGTTACAGCAGATATCACCCTGCCTTGATGGGGCTGCTGTTCAAGCAGAACTTTAGGAAACTGGGGGTTCAGATCTAGACAGAAATGTGTTTTCTTGCTTTTTGGCTGCATTCTGTTTCCACAGTTCTTTCTCTCTATCCACCAGTGAAGAATGAAATTCAAGAGAGGAGGGAATTCCTGGAAGAGATGGAAGCTCTAGGACAGGGCAAGAAGTATCAAGGGATCATCCTCACTGAAATCTCACAGGTATGCGAGGGCCTTGGCTGAACAGTGCATGAAGGGAATCCCATGTGTCAGAGATCATAAAGCAGAGTCTTCTCTGATATCTGAGCAGGGAAGGGGGCAAAGAGCTGCTTCCCTTCATGGCACAGCTCGGGCATGAATCTGGGGAATGGTGGATAGCGGTTTTCCAGCTTTCTTTCCATCTGTGCATGTAACTTAATCAGGGAAACAGTTTTTATTCTTGAGATTGGCAAGAGAAGAAAAAAAAAGCTGCTGGCTTTCTCCCTACTCAGCTCTCCCCCTTTCTACTTTGCAGAAATTGAATGAGATGAAGAGCATTGACAAGAAGAGAAGTGAGGAAATGAGAAATATCATGACAAAAGCCTTCCCTGTTGGGAACAAATCCAATCTCCAAGACTAGGCCAAGGGCAAAACACAGGTGCAATTTGTTCCCACCTATTCTTCCCAGACTCTGGGAATCAGAGGCTAGTCTGTGTCTGTTTCCAAAGAGGGGGCAGCACAATCTGTTGCCAGAAACTAGAAGGCAGGACCAATTTGTACATACACAGTGACAGAAGTTGTAAAATCCTTCCCACACACTGGATCCCTTCTTGCTCCATAATATTAAAGACATGAAAACACACAGCAACAGCTCCCAAAACATGACAAAGCAGAGCCTTCTTTTTCCTCTGCAGTGCCTCAGCAATCCATCCATAGAAATGTCATTCCTTCCCGTCTCCCCAGAAGTGGAGTTTTCTCGTGACAGCGTGATGGTAACACACACTGACACCATACCTGTAACTGGCTTGCTCCTGGCCCTGTGATGCCAGGAATGTCTCTGGAGGAAGTGCAGCTGTACAGCCTTGTGTACTCACAAGCCCTTGGCATTGCTGCAGGTCACTGTGACTGTGACCTGCGGCATCAGCAAACCTCTGGTGGCAGCCCACTGGGCAGGAACTCAGGAACACAGCTGTGCCAAGCAGGGACAGGGAATTTCACCCCAGTGGCTGCTGCTCTTTGCTGTGGACTTGCTGCGATTTTTTGGTTCCTGAAAGCATGGTATGCAGAATAGCCACTCTATTCCCACAGAGACTGGAAATGGCTGTTTGCTCAACCATAAATACTCACACCTCTGTCCTCCAGCAGGCTGAAGCATTATGTCCCACTTTTCCTGTGGAAATCCCAGCATAACGTCCAGTTTCCAATTTCCTTAAGATCTCATCCTCTGCTTCTTAGCAATACTCAGCCACTTTCCAAAGCCAGGCAGCATGCCCTGGCCCTGGGACAGCACGAGTGCACAAAAGAATGAGAAACCTAATCCACAATCATTTTTTAAATCCAATGTTTCTTTTATTTCTGTTCAGGTGAATGGAAGTCATGGGGTTAGTACAGTATAATTTACAAACCAAATTTCTGACTGGGCACAGGGCCAAGGGGTGTCAGGCTACAGCAATCCCAATGGCCTTTGGCAACAGTGATGTGACAGTAGGCTCTAAAGCAGATTTGTTTGTCCTTGGAGAAGAGTTGTATTTTGGGATCTCCCCTCTCCTACCACTGTTCCTCATCAGCCCGCTTGGTATAGCAAGGATGGCATTACCAGCACAGGGCTGAGCTGGCCAGCTCCCAGCCATGGGGGCCATGCTGGGATTGAGGAGGGGCTCGGGTCCCTCTGGTTTTGGGAAATGAGGATCCCTCTCCAGAATGCTACACCAGCCACCTTGCAAGGCACTGCTCCGAGAGTATTTTGGCTAAAGCCAGTTGGGTTTTTAGAAGAGACTGCAGCAGATCGCTCAGGGCTGGTTATGTCTAATTTGCTAATGAGAAGGCATGATGAACAACTGACCAACCAAACACCCATGAAACTCTAATTCAGACTGATACAATGACTCAATAAATAACTCATCATCTTGGAAGAGAAGGCAGGAGACAGAAAATGGAAGAAAGAAGGGATGGTTGGAAGAACACATTCCCTCCTCTGATGTACACACACACACACACATGACAAATAAAATAAGGGGTTTAAAGTTTTAGGATAGGTTTGAATTCATCTAGTAAAGGAGGTGTAAAAAACAATCAGCCACATCTGCACACTTTTAAAGTATACACAGATGAAGCTGGGTAAAGGTCAGTTGTGACCGTGCCTCTCTCCCCTGCCGCTCAAGGGTGGCACCGGTGAGCAGGGACACAACTTAGTGCCCCTCACCAGCAGTCACTCAATCTTGAGCTTTTCTGCCCTTGCCTGGAAAAGGAACAGATCCTCCCTCCCCAGGAAGGCAGCAGAGTCAGCAGTGTTTAGCAGCAGTGGGGTTCCTGAGTAGGGCACGTGAGCTACATCCTAGCAGCTGTATGCTGTCCCCTTGGGTCCTCTCAGCCTTGGGACAGAGCCCACCCACCCCTGGTGCTCGAGGGAGGGAACGGCTCAAAATAAATAGGGCACCAGTTGTTTTTTGGCTATGGCTCTAGAGCCTTGTGATGCAGGAGTATTTTCTTAACCTTTTAGTTTAGGCCAGTAAAACCCAAAGGATCCTGATTCTAATGTCAGTTTTCTCCTGAAGTTAAAAATGAGACAGAAAAGGGACAAGAGTGGGCAGGCAAGGAGGGACAGGGAGGCCCAGTCTCCTCCTGGCAGAAGTCAGAGGCACATGGAACTGTCACAGTTAGGGTGGGAGAAGGGACGGGGTGCAGTTAGTGCAAGTTTTCCACAAACACAAAACTCCTTTGTTGTTCTCAGTTAATGATAAGAGCACGCAATTGGGTAAGGTCTGAAAAGCAAATCCATCTTCTCCTCGCTTTGTTAACAAGGCTTCACGGAGGGCATGGTCATGCTCCCCCACAGCCTCGGGAATGGGAGGACTTTGGTCATTCTCACCCGCTCTGGGCTGAGGGCTGGCATCTCCCTGGGGTGGCAGCTCGGATATCTGGGAGGGAGCAGTGGGAGAGGCAAGTTGGGGTTCCCTCTCACTGCTGGTGTCCCCTGCTCTAGCTTTTCTCCTTGGGTGACTTGCTCTTGGAGTCGTGCTTGTTGCCCAGCAGCTTAAGCACCTTCATGGGCTTGAATTTGCCTTTCTTCTTGCTCTCTGTCTCCGTCTCCTTGTGAAATTCTGGGGTTGCAAAGGGATGTTGTTACTGTGGGATGTCAGTAGTTGTACAGACATACTCAAGACAGTGGGCAAGGGTGACAGCCACGAATCAAAACCCTCTACTGCATGAACCCTTTCTCTGATAATAGGGGTGTGCAGCACAACTGTGCTTCTAACTTTATTGGGCCTACAGGAAAGTCCAGTCTACACAGAATAGATTCAATCTCTCCTGCACACAATTTCACAAATGGCTCGTGCTGCTCCTTACTGGGGACAGTAGTGAAAACATCACTACAAAAAGCTTCCCATTTGTTTCTTACCTTTCCTTTTAATCATGGCTTCCAACATTTTATCCTCCTCCTCTTCTCTGAAAGAAAGAATGGGAAAGAGGTCAGGAGTTCAGCCCTTAAAACAGCTGCTATATTGTTTAAGGCTAGAAAGCCTCCTACTTAGAAGCCATAGAGGGGCAGATCCATCACTGTCTTGTGAGCATTTGCAACCAGCAGGATAAATCCCACAGGCTGCATGTGCTGCCCTGTCTTTCCCACACAAAGCATTCAGAGACAAGGATTGGGAAGCCTGGGAAAACATCAGCAACATGGACATCTTGGGACACCCCCACAAGGCACCATGTGGCACTGAGTCAGACAGGCTGTGCTTTTCCCTTCTCCCCCAGCTCACCCCATTCCTCACTCACCTCTGCCGGTCCTCGTCCAAGCAGTTCACAATGGCATTCCTCTGCTCGATGATGGTCACCAGCTCCTGCATCAGCACCTTCTCCCTCCCTCGATCCTCATCGGTCCAGTCCTTCTCTACCCAGCCAAACCCCAGGGAAGGACAGGCAATTACATGGCTGAAGGAGCACTGACATTCAGGGCTTCAGGGCAGAGATCTCCAGCACAATCCCCTCTACCCTGCTATGTTACAGGGCCAGTTGGGCTAGCAGTGCTATGGGGACAGAGCCCTGCATGAGGCATTCCCTGGAGACAAAAAGAGCACATCCCTGCACAAGACTGGGACGTACACTGAGATGGGCTAGAGCCTCTAGAGCCAGCTGGTTGCAATGGCATCCCTATAGATCTGCCTCTCTTCACCTGAGATCCACCTAGAGAGAGGGGAGATGATGCCCAGGGGAAAAATGATCCCTGTGGGTCCCTTCCAACTCAATATATTCTAAGATTCTATGAAAAAAGTGGTAAGCACACCCAGAGTGGTGCTTTACCTGGCTTGTTGAGGAGGCACCGCAGTTCATACTCCACATCCGACTGCCGCTGCTCCAGGTTCTGCTGCTTGAAGCTGCAAAGGAAGGGGAAAATATTGGGAAGCACTGCAAGGCTCCAGAGAGGTGGAACATCATCCCAAAGTACAGGGTGAGCTTGGAAAGAACCCTCAAGATGCTGATCTTGTCCTGTATAGCCAGGGAGCCAAGGACTAGTAAGGACCAGCCCTGACTGCTCAGGGCCTTCCTGGAGTAGATGCTGCAGAGGCTCTGGTGATACACTGTGGGTCAGTTCTCAGCACATCTAGACAGATTTGCTTGCCCTTACTCCCTCCCTTTTTAGGCAAGGAGGCCCTGTCTGGATCTCCCCTGGAAGCACCATTTCAGGAGAGCTGAGAAAGATTCCCCAGGAGAGTGTCAGTGCCTCTCCACACACCTGCACACACTTACATGTAGATGAGCTCCGACTCGTGGCGCACCAGCATGTGTTTCTCATGGATGAGCTTGAACCAGTCCACAAGCAGGCTGTCCTCAGGGTTGTCTGCCAAGCAAAGGGACAGTTCAGAGCCATTCCCAGCCCTGGTGGATCCCATCACCCTGCAACAGGCTGGGCTTTGCCTAGCCAGGGGAGAGGCACTGGGCTAGAGCCAACCCAACCTCAGCCTCTTTCTGAGGCCCAGAGAGACCCCATCTCTTCTCCCACCTGTTTCCATTCTAGGGGCATCTCCATGTTCAGGATAAGGTTGTTTCCAATCTTGGAGGCCAGCACAGCCTCTTGTGTTCTTCCAACCCCAGCATCAGCAGGGAAGAAGTCACTGTTGCTATTTCCTTGGCTGGAGAGAGGGCAGCCCTAGGGTCTGTCCTGCCCCACACCCACAGACAGCCCAACCCACACACCGTTCTCAGCACTGCGCAGTTTTTCCTCCAAGGCCACCCCACGGTGCTCCAGCTCATCCAGCTGATGCTCAATGGCATCCATCTCCCCATAGATGTCTTCCTCAGGGATGTACTGATCTGTCTGCACCTGCCAAACCATAAATCAGACACTTTCATTACCACCAGACTCCAGTTTCCAGGGGTAATCCAGAGCTTGGTCAACACTAGCAAGGGCAGAGGGACAACAGAATATTCAATTGAAGTGTGGATCTGAAATCCCTATCCCACTCCAGTCTGGAGTAAAGGAAGATGATGATGTTTTTTTGAACAAGGTGTAGCCTACACACCCTCCTCTCCAGCCACAGCCACCTGCTGTAATCCCTTCCCACACAAGCCTCAGCAGGGTGCTTGAAGACTGCTACAGCCCTGGGGGATAGCACAAAGCTGGCTTTTCCCTCCCTGCTCCCCAGGGCCCTTTTACCTTGCGTTTGATCAGTGGGAAGCCGTGGCCTGGTGCAGGAGGACGCACAGGCTTGGAGCCCTTGGGAGGTTTCTTTGCCGAGGGGGAGGCAGCAGGAGATGGCTTCCGATTGAAGGGGTTCTCTTTGCAGGAAGACTGGAGAGGGCAGACAAAAGCAGACACATGAGCATCCAGGGAAGGGAAGGGATCCCAACAGGTGGGAATAAGCAGACAGGGCAGCACTAAGGTTTGTCCTGCCCTACAGCCTCCTAAAAGAGCAATGCAGCACTCATTTCCACCAGCACCTACTCAAAAAAATGACTGTGCTCCTGTTTGACATCAGTTTCCTAGCCTCTCCCTCACAAGTATGCTGAAACATTTTCCTTCATAGTTCCCTTCCTATTTGCTCAGACTACATGACATCCTGCTGCTTCTCCAGCACACGGGATAGGCAAAGTACAAGCAGAGCCAGCATTTAACACAGGCCTGAAGCTTGCTTTCAGAGGTCACACATCAAGCCTACCAAAGGGGCAAGCCTGTATCTGCAGATACCCTGTGACCAAGTGATGGATGGGGAAGAAAAGCCCTGTGATCTGGATGGGGAGAAGGTCATCATCTCACCTTCAGCTGTGGTTTGGGTGAGGAAGATGTCTTGAGGCTCCCAGCACCACCATCTGAAGCCAAGAGGATGGG